TATATTCAATAAAACTCTTAATTCCAAAAATAGTTAGGAGTTTTTGTCTACCAGGTTGACTTACCCTGAAAACCTAAATTTGCCTATTAATCCCCAGACTTCCCTGTAAGCCAATCTTCACTATCCTAACCATTACCTAAGTGGATTGGATATGCTCTAAGGAATATGAATCACAATACAGATGGCTTCTTATTCAAAGGGCCACATGCTTACTATATTAATTTAATATATGCAATACCTGTAAGGTTCTTTAAGGCCAGACATAGGCCTACTCAACCGATAACACGCCAGTGACCTTAGAAATGTGCGCACAAAACTTCACATTATTTTAGTTTCATAAAAAGTTCCACACTTCATAGGTAGGAGAAACCATATGAGAATATCTCTATCTAAATCCACTACTCCTTTGACCAATAAGCCCACAAAAGAGATTTAACTTCCTCTTGCCTTAGTACAAACTTCTTGATATGCATAATGAATGTGTTGGGACATGGAGGAATCTGGTTTCCATACTAATTAGAGCTCTTCTCTGAACAGCAAGAGCAACAGTCAAGTTTTATGGAAACACCATTTCTGAGAGAATCAGTAGAAATGTCACTTCCACCATTGGGTCTTTCCACAAGCTCTTCTCAGAGACAATGCCCCAATTTATTTTTCAATTACATTTCTCATATGCATATGTCAGTTTGGATAAATAATAGGCATTCAGTAAATAAATGTATTAGTATTATGTCTCTAGTTCAGACAAATCTTTAAAGAAAATATTTTCAGGAAAATAATTTATTAGTAATTGAGGTATTTTGAATGATAGTGCTCAATATTAAAATCTTTTATAGATCCTATAGTATTAAACACTTCTGACAGCACGCACATATGATATGTAATACATTCATCATGTGTCTACTCAAAATCTTTTTGGCAAATAAGATGGCTTAAAAAATAAGTTTTGTCAGATCAAGCATTTTAGTCTTCTAGACTTTGATATTAGAATGCTACTTCCTAAATTCTAGGAAAATTGTAGTGTCATGATATGAAAATTTCTGATGGAGCTTTGAAACTAATGAGATAACAAGTATTGTTTCCTTTCCTCCCACTATTTCTCCCATGAAATCGCAATCAGTTCTTAAAAAGACTCTTATAACAAAAGTTGAGTTTAGCATTCTTACCTGGCACCCTTTTGGCCCAGTTGATCATGTGAACCAGCTCCCTGTCTGCCAGGTTGGTCAGCAAGCCCATCATGGAGGCCTCGCTGAAGGGTCTGGTAGGATCGTACTCGGAGTAGATTATGGGGGGCTCAGCGTCCAGCAAGGCACTGACCATCTGATCAGCTGTCAAGGACAAGGCAGGGCTGTTCTTCTTAGTGTGTTTGATAATGAGGGGGCTTGGCCAAAGGTTGGCAGCTCTCATTTCTCCAGAGGATCCTATTTCATTCCTGCCTTCCCCATCATCTCTCTGACGCTTGTGTTTCAACATTCTTCCTCCTCTTCGGTCTTTCCGTATCCCTGAAAATGCAGGGGGAAAAAATTAACTAATTTGTTCCCAAGTAACTTTTCATATAAACACCATTTTCAAAGCAAACAGCCACTTTATTTTATTTCAATAAATACATGGGGGACAAACAAACTAGTAAGCATTTAGCAATTAATGATTTGTAGCATTTGCCAATTTTCATGATATAAATATTGCCACTGAAACTAATTTCAAGTCACTTGTCTAACATCAATATTCTTATAAAACGCTTGTAAATAACAGTAGGCTTTTGTGAGCCAGTACAAGCTGGCTGTGACACACCAGGTTTGTGTGTGTGTGTGTGTGTGTGTGTGTGTGTGTGTATAAAACAGATGCTGTAAAACAAAAGAATTATAATAAAAAAACTATTCTTGAAATATAGTTTAACATCAAACATTTCTTCTGCATGAATATTCTTTTAAATAGTAAATTAAAAGAATATTTTAATAATAAAGGGGCAGAGTAAGATGGTGGGATAAGAGCCTCCAAAGATTGAATCTCAACAGAAATATCAATTCAAGAACTATTCATGCATGAAAGTACCTTCACAAGAGTTGTGGGAGATCACAGTACCTGCTTTTAGCATCAAATAAGAAAGATTCTTTAAAGGCAACAAGGAAAGAATCGCTCACATTACCCTTCTTTCAACTCTAAGCAGCACAATGTAGAGAAGGACACTTCCCACTTGAGAGAGGAATATAGACCTTAGACACGAAACCAAGTACCAGGTGTACCACAGTGACATTCAGTACTGGGAATAACGCTATAGCCCCTACCCCCAGTCTTTGACTCAGACAAAGCCTGTGTATGCACCCTTCACCAGGCAGAGACTTGTGACCCCAGTAGGACAGCCTTGCATTTTAGCCCACTTCACCTCCAATCAGCTGCAGGGGTCTTGGGCCACAAAGAAACCACAGCAGCAGGCAGGTCATAGCAGGAAGGGCCTTGGTCCTGCCTCGTGCTGCACTGGTATCAGTGGTCTATTGGCTCCTGATAGGAACTGGCACTGAAGCAGCCATGGTGTCTGTGGGACTGCTCATCCTTTCCACAATCCCAGGCAGCACAACATAGAGAGAGTTATTGTCCATTGCAGAATGAAGAGGGAGATAGGCACTAGTTGTTTCTGGACCTTCCACAGTGAGGCCTGTGCCAGGCAAAATTCTATGGTACCTGACTTCAGATCATTGACCATGGACAAGGCATCTAGATAGCTGACATGGAGGCTTATGGAGAAGGACTACCCTTTCAGATATATCCCGTGGGCATCTTGAACAACCCAATGGCAGATTTATGACAAACTAGAGTTTGGGGGCACTCTCTAGTGCTGAAACAGTGACTACACACCACTGTACAAATATTAATAGACCTAAAGGGAGAGATATACTCCAGCACAATAATAGCAGGGAACTTTAATATCTCATTTTCAGCGATGGACATATCGTCTAGACAGAAAATCAACAAAGAAACAGCAGAGTTAAACAGCACCAGAAACCAAACGGACCAGTAATTACAGAATATTCTATCCAACAGCTGAAGAATATGCATTCTTCTCAGCAGCACAAAAACATTCTCCAGGAGAGATTATACAGTAGGCCATATCAAGTATCTTATCTAATCACGATGCAATAAAGCTAGAAATCAGTTACAAGAAAAACTTAGAAATACATGGAACTTAAACTGACCCAAATTACCAATGGGTCAGTGAAATAATTAAGAAGAAAATATACAATTTCCTTGAAATAGATGATAATGGAAATACAACATACCAAAATCTAGGAGGTATAGCAAACTTAGAGGAAAACTGATGGACTTGTATATATTGAGCCCTTCTTGCATCCCTAAGACGAATCCCACTTGATGATGGTGGATAACATTTTTATGTGTTGTTGAGTTTGGTTAGCTACTATTTTTTTGAGAATTTTTGCACATAGGCTCATGGTAATGTTGACTTTCTTTTACATCAAAAAAAGCAGAAAGTTCTCAAATAAAAAGCCTGTTGCATCTCAAGGAACTAAAAAGAAAATACAAACAAACCAAACCCAAAGTTGGCAGAAGAAAAAACTAATAAAAGTCAGACCAAATAAATGAAAGAGAAATGAAAACAACAATATGAAAAAAAATAACAAAATTAAGAGTTGATTTTTGCAAGCATAAATAAAAATGACATTTTTAGACTAAAAAAAATGACTCAAAATTAGAGATGAAAAATTTCTGATATCACAATTTATACCACAGAATTGAAAAGGATCATTGAAGACTATCATGAACAACCACAAGCCAACAAATTTGATAACCTAGAGAAAATGGAAAAATTCCTGACACATATACCTTATCAAGGCTGAATCATGAATAAATAGAAAACATGTACAGATCAACCACAGCAAGACTGGATTAGTCTCCCATCAGAGAAAAACCTAGAATCAAACAGCTTCACTGATGCAGTCCATCCAAACCTTTAAGGAAGAACCAATTCTTTTTCAGTTATTCCAAAAAAAAAAATTAAGTGGTGGAAGAAACTTTTACAAACTCTTTTTTTTAAAATGTTTTAAAATATTTTTCTTTTTTTTTCCTAAAAATATGCTAACTTTATTTAACCATTCAGTTGAATTGGCATTATATTCTTCAGGCCATTTTATATATCTGTATCCTGTATCCTCTCCCTGTGTCCTCTTTTGTTTTCCTAGATAGTTTTTTTTATTGTTGGTCGTTCAAAACATTACACAGTTCTTAATACATCATCTTTCACAGTTTGATTCAAGTG